AGCTGTCAGTCTATAAAATAAATAATTTTAAAAAGCCTTCTGAATATTTATTATATGCTATAACGATACTAAAAGGGGACAAGCCTGTTTCTTCCTCCCTTGCAGATCACTTTTATTACATTATTCCTCTTTAAGAAGCTGCTAGAGATGGCTGTCTGGAGGCAATCTGTTTTTTATTATAAACATGGCACCTCTCTCCCCTCCCACCCCCAACAGGAAAAACGCGTCCTGGGTCTTGCAGCAGGATCATTTTAAAGATTGCAGCTCAGTGATAGAGCTTCTAGTTTCATGCTGCCTACACTGGGGGCCTTTGATAAGAGCCACACCTGCTTTGGCATCACCGAGTTCAGCCGCACAAAGTGGGAGCCCTAAAATACCGGGGTGTTTCCCCCGCTGACACCGACCTGCTCTGGAAGAGGTCTCTGACTCCTGGAGCGGGGGGTATCCCTGCTGCTCACCTAACGCCATCCAGCTTAGGCCAGAGTGAGAGGACAGAAGTTAGGACTCCAGCTTCCACCTGTAGTCAATGGAGTGGTATTTTCAGGGGTAGTTACTTCAGGGCATTTAAAACACGAGTGGGTAATTTGTTACTGGAGTCTCCACTCACAGTAGCAATGGGTTGAGGCTAACAGCGTGTGTGTGCGGGGGGAACCAACAAGAAAAACTTACTACTGACATAGCTTCAACATGGCAGTATCTGTTAACAGTTTTAGGGTACAATTTTATCTAATTTCTTTGGCAACAAAGGCAGCTTAAAAGGTTTCCCCTGCTGCCTGCTGCTATCCAGCTCTTGAAGAGAGGGCTTTTTCCTGTCTCCCGTAAGTCTCACCATCCGTGTGCTGTAACAGCCTGTGGGACCCTGCAGCAAATCAGATTACTAAAATGACTGGGGTTTTGTTGGGAGGTGCTTTTATTTATTTATTTATTTAGAAACAACAAAGGTTGTGGAGTGTTTGTTTTTGTTTGCCCAGAACATTTCAAGGATCTGGTTTAGGCTAAACCCCACAAACCATGGCACAGCTGGGCAGGAAGAGGAGCAGACTGCAGCGCCGGCATCTATCTGCTTGCGCCTGAAATTCTCTCCAGCTCTGCTGCTAAAGAAAATACAAAGGGGCTTCACAAACAGCATGAACCTTTCTGATAAATAATGACCTGGTTTGCATACCTAAGTTGCTGGAGTATTGGGTAAACCCTGGCAGTAAGTCGAACGTGTTCATTTTGGACTTCAAAAGAAAATGACAGTTTCAGCTGCCGAGTCCCTGGGTCTGCCACGTTGTTTGAAGTAAGGGATGACAGACTTTTTTTTTTTTTTTTTTAAATACATATAACTGCTGTTATATGTAGTCTTGTCTCTTCTTACAACTGTATGAAAACAACTTATGGTGGGGAAAGGTGTAGAAAAAAAGCACCTGGTGTAAAGTTTTTGCTTTCTCTCGCTTTCTGTGCAGGGTTAGCTATCTTTCTTACGCTGTGCTTACTCCTGTGCCAGCCCAGACACTCTTGACTTTCTTCTGATTAGCATGACCTGGGTGAAGCTGCAAAATCCTCTTCCTTGTTCCAGAAAAATGGAGATGAGTTAAAGACCAGAGGAGGAGCACAAGGCCCTTGTGGACCCACCCTTCAGTCCAGCTCATTCCCAAGCACGGGGAGGACTTCTGGTCCCCCTCTGACGCTCTTGCCCTCAGCCACCGAGCCCAGGCTTGTTAGGAGCCTTTAGTTTTACAGTAGCAATTCCTGAAAGACAGTTTTATCACTTCAGTAGTAAGGCTTTTCTTTTGCACTGAATTATTGTTGAATTTTATTTCTGTTTCTTTCTCAAGGTGGGGTTGGTTGGTTTTTTTTTTCCCTCCCCTTTCCTCTGCAGTCAGATGTACACTGCAAATGGCACAGACAGTGCCTCCTGTTGTGGCTCAGGCTCAAGACTTCACATATGTAAAATGTGACTTGCAGCACTTTCTTTGAAGCCTAACCACAGCCAGGGAGCTGTAATTGCAGTCTTTGATTGCGCCGACTTCACTTGTGGATTGGGCTTTGCTAGGGCATGCCTCGCTTGGCGAGACTTCAGCTACAGCCCCCCAGTGAAGCCTTAGATGTGGGAAGTCTTCAGTCTCCTTAGCACATGCCTGTGGTTTCTTGAAAAGAATCCTGATTTGACCTGTTTTATATCTGTAAGGCAACACCATCATCATTTGTATTTTTTAGGTATTATTTGGTTTATCAGCAGTAGAAGCAATTTCCAGCGTGTAGCCTTAATGTGCAGCTGGGGAAAGGCTGGGTTCTAGATACTCTTTTCAGGAGAGCTACTGTATAATTTGCTGTACTGCAGTATTCGCTTAGAAATAAAAATATGTGGGGCTTCGCTGTGCCCGTCCCCTTGCAGAACTGCAGTGGTATCCGCAGCCTCTCTCCTGGAGCAGGGGATCCTTGGGCGCCGAGAGGGGCTACAGAAAGGAGGCAGGCGCTGCGAAAGCCGCGGTTGGATTGAGAAAGAAGCCATGGCTGCTGTTTGAAAAAGCTGAGGGCCAGAGCAAGGCCATGGTCGTTATTTTAACCTCCTGACTTCAAAGACAGCTTGCTGGTAAGGGAAGGGGGGGAGGAGGCAGGGAACCATCTCAACAGAAGAGCATTTCATTTCCTTCGGTGAGGTAGACATTCCTGGCTGCTAATGGGGAGTAGCTCTGAATCACAGCGCTTGTATCAGGCTGCTGTGAACTACTGGCCTGGCGCCTCAAGGCCATTCCTCAACAGGAAGCTGAATGTTTTCATGTAAGACTGAGAGGAAAACCTTCCCAGGAAGAGCAACCTGGACCAAACCTTTGAAAATCTGGGATGAAAAGGCACAAAATAAATATAAAGCTGCAGGGTGCTCTCCCCAGTGTTCCTCTGCTGTTTGCTTGGCCTCTCTCTTTCGTGCTCCTTGGAAAGGTAGAGCCCTTTGCAGCTCTTTGATCTGCATGTGTTACGGAGCACTGCGCTACTTTATTTTCGATACAAATTTCATCCAAAAGAGTATGTTTTCCTGTGCAAGATTTTCTTCTATCGAATGCCTTTGGGCTATCACAACATCCTTGTAGGATAGAGCTTTTCTTTTCATAAAAAAAAAAAAAAAAAAAAAAAGGCAGGAAGCTCAGAACGCTTTTTTTAGTTGGGACTTGGGCTGGTTTTATGAGGAAATAGGAACTGAATTAGTCAATACAGACCACCTCTGTTGAAACCACTGGTTTGCCAGTAGACTTTCAGCTGTGCTGTTTAAGAGGCCACAGTGGCTTTAAAGGTCCTTTTGTGGCTACCAGCAGCAGGTGAAAATTACTCATTATGTAGCAGGGATGGTGGTATTTGTGGGGGGGTGGGGGAGTGGACTGTCCTTCAAATTAAAGCTCTACAGGACAGTTTGATATGAATCTGTGCTTGTTCTTTCTACCTTACTTAGTCTGCAGCTAAACTTTTTCAGTGTCCTCAACTTTCCACTAAAACAAGAGTCATGTGGGTGGCCTCTGATGAGGAGTCAATTTGTTTGGGGCCTCAGCTTGCGCTCACTAAAATCAAAGGGTCCAAAACCAGTTTTGGAGGCTTTCCACCCTGGAGTACATTAGCCTGGGTGACTCCTTATTCAGGAGCTGGACTCAACCAGTACGGGCAAAACGTGTTGCGTTGTAGTGGCTTACACAAAGCTGCAGCAGATGGGAGGCGGGTGCCCAGTTATAGATGGCCCTGGTTTAAATACTGCTACTGTAGTATTTGCTGATTAAGTCTGCTTGTGGCTCTTCTAGGCTCAAAGCAGTCCATCTATAATGATTGGTCTAACAGAAGTTTGACTTGTGGTTTAAACCATTTCTTCATAAACTTGTTCTGTCTTGCTGTGCACGATTCAAGGTGCTGACAGTGTTATCTTTGTGTGACTAAGCATTTTGTGCTTCTTCTGGTGAAAATTTGCTCACCTTCTCCCCCAAACTGCATTCCTGTGCTAATTTTGGTCATTCTCAAAAGCTCTGCTTGTTGAACCCTCTACTTGTTTGGCAGCTGAGTAGGACCTGGAGGCCTAGAGGTTAACGTAGATTTTTTTGAGAAACCAATAATCCTGAGCCCATTACTGGAGAGCATGTGCCCATCTGTGGAAAAATGCCTGACTCATTAGACAGTCTTTGGGTGAAGTCCCTGTTACAACCCGGTTGTCTGGGTCAGAAGGGCAGGGGTGATGGTTGAGTTAGCAATTGAGTCAGTCAGCTGATGTAACCCAGAGACCTAATAGTGAGGAACTGTTCCTCTCTGGATGAGCTATACCTACCAGGCTTGCACTGTTGGCCTTTTCACATGGTGTAAGAACATAAATCCTTCCAAGATCCTAGTGAACTTTACTGCTAGGTCAGAGGCCCGTGGCTCTTACGGAACTGGAAGATGTACCCTAGTCGGCTGAAGAGCAGAACGAATCCTCCCCAGTCGTATGGATGCGGTCACTACGGTCAGTGTTCACACAAGCCTCACCCGTCACATTCCTCTACCCAGCTGCTTACAGAAGACAGCATTTCTTCGTTTCCGCAGGGAGTAGAGCTTGGGGCTCTGAAGTAGAGGTTTAATTGACTCAACCACTGCAGTACCAAAGCGTGAGGATGTGTAGTTTTGTTACTGATATCTGGGTCAAATATTCTAGATAAATTAAATCCACTACAGAAGGGAATTACTTCTGTAATACGTTGAATGTCTAAATAGCTTAAAACCCCACCTTCTTAGTTGGCATCAACATCTGTTTACAATCCAAAGTACTCTCCATAAATATTCTTGCAAACTTCAACCAAGAGCAAATAGAAATACTCTGCACTTCACGTTGATGTTGCAAAGGACACATTCCACTAACACAGTTGTGTCATAGAGTTACAGTGACCCTTCACCAGCTTCTTTGAAGGATTTTTTTTTTAATTAAAAAAAAAAAAAAAAAAAAAAAGAGAGCTTCATATAGTCTAGCTATCTCACACACTCTCTTCTCTCTCCCCCCCTTCCTGTAGGTGGGAAAAGAAATGCTTTCTCAACTTGCAAAGCAAAGGCGGCGACACCAGGACCCCTTCTGGAGATGGAAGCTTGTTAAACCCTAGGTGTGTCCTTCATCCACACAGACCACCCCCGAGGAGTCTGTCTAGGATGTCATTCACCCTGATGTCACTGCTAGAGACACTGAATCATAAAGACAATCACTGCCAAAATCCTTCACTATCACGAGGTCCAGCCCCGATATAAATAGAGCAAATGAGCTCCTGGGTCAGCAGAGCAGCTTTTGTCTTCACTCCACCTCTGCCTTGCACTCTTAAGCCCCCGTCTCATCTGTGTCCATATCGAGTCAGCAAACAAAGTAGCGTGGCTGTCTCTGCCTGCTTCAGCCAACAAAGTAACGTAGACCACAGCTGCCCCATACAGCACATCGAGGAATGGAATTTGCCTGGACCAGGATGACACACTCAACCTTCTTTTTATTTAATGGTGCGACAGGATCAATTTTGGTTTTAGCTTTTTTAAGAAACTTGAATGCTTTTATATTTTAACTTTTAGTTTGTAATTTCTTTGGTGTATATTTTACTAGGTATGAGCTTTTAAACAAGTGTCAGAAATCTGAAATACTTTTTAAATAAAAGGGTTTTTTCTTTTTTTTTTTTTTTTTTTTCTGCCAAAGGAAAAGCCTGTATGGAAAAAAGGTGGCTTTTTTGTTAAACTATTTGTAACAAATAGTGGCCTCTCAGTCTATATAATACAGCGTCCTATAGAACTAAATAACTGTAACAACAGTCGGCTGGTCAGTAGACACGTCAGTCTTGCATCATCTACTCTGTAAACATAGCAATACATCAAGCAAATCTGACTGCAGTGAGTTCTCCTTCTCACCCATTCCCCTTCTCCTTGTAAAAAGCCCAGCACTTGAATTATTACTTCAATTGTTCTGTATTTGTATCTGTTTTTGTTAGCCTGTTAGTGGGATTTTATGCCAGTTGTTGAAATGAGCATTGATGTACCCATTTTTTAAAATAGTAAGGCACAGCCTTTGCCAAAAATACTGTCAACCGATTTTTTTTTGTCATTCCAGTTTGAGTTAATGTGCTGAGCATTTGTTTTTTAATAAAAGCTTTGTAATAAAACTGAAGTCAATTGTCTGGCGTAAAAAAAAGAGAATGGCTCACGCTTGATGGAGTAGAATCCCTGAAAGGCAGAAGCAAGCCCAGGAAGGGTTGGTCACTTCTAAGGCTGAAGACTTTTGGCTCAGGCTTCCCTTGTAGGACATGCAATGTGTCTGTTTGGCTGTTTGCTCATCTGAAGTAAAGTAATTTTGGACGATTACTTTATTTTTCTTCCTAAAGAGAGCAGAAGTCTCTTGTTTTCATACCAGGAGTAAGGAGTGGGCAAGCTCTGTGCTCCCTTACGCTTCTCAGTTAGATTTGGCCCAAGTGGAAGTACCAGGGTCTGCGATCCCTCCCTCCATCTTCAGTTTCCTGCTAAGATCTTAGTGTACACAGCAGTGGTTTTAAGCTGATGATCAGGAGTATGGATTCCCTTCTTTCTGGACGCAGCCCGTGCCCGCGCAAGGGGTAGGAGACTAGAATTAAAGAAACCTGACTAGTGCCAGGTTTCACGGTCTGGAGCATCGGCATGGCCTGCCTACTGCCAGTGGTGCCCGTGAGGCCTTCCCGTGACAGCGAGCAGCTCCTCTGCACGCTTCAAAGCTGAAAACAGGTGTTTTGAGCCTTCAAGCCCCAAACACCACCAGCAACTTCTCTGACACCTTTCCCCTTTTGTTCAGGGACTGGTATTCCACGGGTTTGAAAAGCAGCCACAGCTGCCCGACTTCTACTAAAGGACTTCAGAAGGAAAAAAAAAAAAACCACAACACTGTAGCCATAAACTATTCCAATGTTTTGTGAGCACCACTGCAAAAGAAATATTATGAACTGTACATTGAATCAGCATACCTTGTATTCTAGCTCCTGAATCTTGTTTGGTGTGAGACTGGACTGAATCAGGCTTGAGCTACAAGAAATGACATGGGTGAGTTACTGCCTAGGGAAGCTCTGTGATTAGATTGTTTATAACTGACCCTTAAACTCTGTTGCATAAGAAATTTCATAATTAAAAATGTTATAAAACAGCTTCCTCTTAAAGCAGCATGCACTGCACACAAACCCAACTGTAAGCATGTAACCAGCATATTAGCCCTTGCAATATTTATTTCTAGCAACTAGCGATTACGTTAAAAAAAGCAAAACAAGTGACCAGGCAAGGGAACGCTCTCAGATGGCAGGAGAAAAGACCTCTGAGAGAACAGCAACTGTATACTGCAGTTTTGCAAGACTTGGCTACATTTCCACTCCAGTCAGTTATCCCAGCCTTTGCTGGAAACCTGTCTGGTTTTTGGTTTGGGTTTGGTTTTTGTTTTTAAAGTGCAGTAATTGTTCTAAATCAAGGATTACTGCAGCGAGTTCTCTAAATTACATGTTCCAAAGATAACAGTTCTTTTTAAAACCTTTTAAAATGCAACTACTTTATTTAGATTTTTTTAATGGCTATTTAAAAAGCCTCTTAGCCATTTTGAAAAAAAAAAATTTGTTCCCAATAGAGGTGTTAGCCTTATGCAGCACGTTCTCCTCAATACACAATGTAGTGAACAGTTGCCTGTCTTAAGGACGAAAGGACATCAGCTCTAATAGTGAAGGCGGAAAAGAATTCAGGAGCTAAAAATAACATCTCTGCTGTTAACATACAGCGAGCAAGCACCATGTGTTGGGCTCATTCATAGATCAAAGGCCTTTCTCATACATCAGCTATGGGAAAGGTTAACTAACACACGAGGCTTGGGATGCTCCCATGAGAGCACCTGAAGCAGAGTAACCGTGCTGTCCTGGCATCCTCTCTGTGAGCTGGGTTGGTGTCGGCTCCTGCCCCCCGCTGCTGATGGGCATCTGTTCCTCTGGGACTGAAAGAGCAAATTGACCTGCGCCAGCTTGACTGTGGAGACAGATGAGCAAGTAAAAATGGCCTAATGATGACAGTGGTACCCTGGCTGTAAGACTCAGTGTAAATCCTTGTGATACCGAACAAATTATTCCAGTTGAGACTCAAAAACGACACCTAAATTCCCCATGTCCAATTAAGGCAGAAGTCAGCATCTAACCATGTCTCTCTTGCGTGCCTGAGGAGATGATTACCCTGTATTTCCCCCAGAAAATGTCTTTAAGGATTTAAATGCTCCTACCTAATGGCTGAGTTAATTATCCAGATGCTTCTCTACAAGCATTCATAAACCCACTCTCTCCCTCCTTACTTCATTCCGTGCATGTGCCAAAACCAGTTCTGCGCATATCACGGTACAGGTAGTCCCATTCATAAACACAGGAGATATCCCGGCAGCTAGGAAACACGCGTCTTTCACCCTCCCCTCACCGCAAAAATGGCAAAGGGCAAATACACAGAACAGGGCAGTTGAGCCAGGATTATTTACAGCAGCCCATCAGGCCAACATCACAGGACAGCCTGGCTCCTCAGGCTTCTGGATCACCTGGACCAGAGCCACTTCCCCTCTGTTACATAAAAGAACAACGCCCCAGGCCAGCCTGGGCTTCGCACACAGCGAGCAATGACAGATTGACTGGTTCTGCTTACAGGGACTCACCAGCTCTAGAGAATTCTCTTCTGATGCAGTTTCCGCTTTGGATTAGCTAACAGAAAAGGCAGTAAGCTGCACAAGCAATAGCTCGATGGTTAGGTCAATTTGCAGCAAACGTGGGACCTTAAGGATCCAATCCTTGCTCCAGGCTGTAGGACAGCAGAATCCGGAGCATCACTCATCTGTGCTCCTTTGAAACCGCAACAGTGCGCAAGGCTTTGAAGCAACCATTCCCTCTTTCTTGATGGCCTCCCACTCTGATCTAGGTGGCGGCTAATTAGGCTAAAGCAAGACAGGCAGAAAATGAAGGACAATGCAGAGACTAAGAAATGCCCAGTAACTTCTCTGATAACTTACCTGAAGCTTGTTCCCTTGCATTCTCAAGGGGGCTAACACGCCAGGCAGGCTCTCCTCCAGCATAAGGACCTAATACAAAGTAGAACATTACGGGGGAAAGAAGCAACTCTGCAGTTAGCAAGAAGCCCTTCACCTATGAACCCATTTCTCCTGAGTCAGGTCAGTGGCAAAACTACCGGGCTCAGAAGGCAGCAACCCCAAAGGAGACCAGCTGTAGCAGGGAAGTGGCCTGCTGTAAACACAGACGTTCTGAGATGAAGCCAAAAACTTAGAAAGTATGCCCGAACAAATCCATTTTTCCACATGACAGGCCAGGAAGAGACCCTCTGGATTAATGTATGCATTTAGCCTGTGAGGCTCCTCACGGATACAAAGACCAGCTTTAGAAAGCAAGCAAGCAAACAAGCATCTGCGGTCCCAGGAAAAGGGACATACCTGCCAGAAATATGGGAAATGAACCTCTTAACCATCAGCTTTCAGCCAGGTCAAAGTAAGGACTAAAATTCTGCTCCCTGTCCAGGTAAATACTTATACCTTCAGGCCATGGGTTTTAGATTACATCTTCTCTCTGGCTGGCACACTCCTGCAACAACCGTAACGTCGCTGAGCAGCGTCTGCTTGGCTGAGATAATGGTCACTGCTTGCCTGGCCTGGGATGCTAAGGTTTTCTTACTGTCTATGATTTTCTACAAAACACATTTTGATAAACTCGCCCATCCCACCTCCCAGAAACCCAACACATACAAGTAAGGGACAGGTTTGTTCATCCCTCTCAGCTATGGAAAACCAACATGAACCAGCAGAGCTGGGAGAAAAATCTCCACCTGCCTCATCCCAGAAGAGCAACTCGCCCAAGAACTGGTCTGTCCTGTTCACCGTGCTGGGAAAAGGTAACTAAATTACATACTCCACAACCTAGTGATGGTCGAGATGCTTACTTGGAGAGACAACTCTTTGAATTTGGACTGATTTCCTACAGCTAGGAAAACTGGCTAAAAAGTCCTGCAGGATATTGATTAGGCTGAGGTAGGACCATCTCTGTGTCTTGTTTTAAGAGAGAACAAGCCATGGAAACAAGGACTCGGATCTTGACAAAGCAAAATGCTATGTAAGGGTTAGGTTTTCTCAGCACCTGCCTGTGAAAGTGAAGTGCTGGGTAATAAAAGAGGAGATGGTACACACCAGAACATGGCAGTGGCTACTGAGATGAAGTTTCAAAGCCCGAGATGGACAGGATTCTTAAAATCTAGTTGCTGCTTTTGCTGCCCTGGAATATGTTTCCTTCTTCTCCTGTGAAATCTGTTTTATTTTGTCATGACTAATGCCATTAGCAACAACTTCTTCCTCTCCACTCAATCCTAAATTAGATAGGCAGTAATTGTATTTGCAAACAAACCATGCCTGAGGAATCACAGAATTGCCTGCTGCTTTTTTTTTTTCCTGTAAA